AAAAAAAAAAAAAAAAAACTAAAGCAGTGTTCAGAGGGAAATTAATAACCACAAATACTTGTATAAAAAAAGGAAAGAGGGACTTCCCTGGTGGTCCAGTGGTTGAGAATCCGCCTTCCGATGCAGGGGACGTGGCTTCAATCCCTGGTCAGAGAACTAAGATCCCACATGTTGTGGGGCAACTAAGCCCACACTCTGCAACTAGAGAGCCCACGCACTACTGAGCCCATGTGCTCTGGTGCCCGCGTGCCACAACTAGAGAGAAGCTCGCGCGACACAACAAAAGATCCTGCGTGCTGCAACTAAGACCCAATGCTGCCATAAATAAATATTTTTTAAAACAGGAAAGAACAAAATTGTTTTTTATTTTATTGAAGATATATAGTTGATTTACAATGTTGCAGTTAATTTCTGCTGCACAGCAAAGTGACTTTTACATAGTCTTGTCAAAAATCAAAATCTTTGATAAAACATTGTGTTGGTGAAGGTAGGAGAAAGTAAGCACTCTTGTACATTGCTTGTGTCAGGGTAAATTGATGTAAATTCTAAAGAGGACAATTTGGCAATATTTATCAAATTATAAATGCACATATATTTTGATTGAGCAGTTCCATTTCTAGAAATGGAATTTGTTAGAGAATATAGGATCCATGTGATATAACGTATACACTGTTATTTATTATTATTTTTTTTTTGTGGTACGTGGGCCTCTCACTGTTGTGGCCTCTCCCATTGCGGAGAACAGGCTCCGGACGCACAGGCTCAGCGGCCATGGCTCACGGGCCCAGCTGCTCCACGGCATGTGGGATCCTCCTGGACCGGGGCACAAACCCGTGTCCCCTGCATCGGCAGGCGGACTCTCAACCACTGTGCCACCAGGGAAGCCCTACACTGTTATTTTTGCTGCATTTTCTTTACAAGCAAAATATTGAAAATATTCTGAATGTCCATTCCTGTCTCCTTACATAAATTAAGGAACATTGGTATAACAGACTATTATTCACTGTAAAGAGAAAAAGGGAGCACTTTTTTTTCACTGATATAGAAAGATCTTGATCATTGTTGAGGAAGAAAGTTAAGAACAGTATGTATAGTTCACTGCCAACTATGTAAAAAATGGAAAAATATATTTGCTTGTATGTAATAAACACCTCTAAAAGAGAAAACAAAAACAGGGAACTCTGTGGTTGGGAAACCTGGACAAGAAGGAATTTTGAACCATATGAATCTATTTTTTTAATGTTACATATTAGGTATCTCATCTGGTCATAGTGGAAATCAGGCGTCTAGGAACTCATCATTTTTAAAAAGCACATACAATTTGAAATTAAAAGTAAGAATGAATTTTATCACCTCCACACCTTAGTCATGTCTGTTTTCTGACCCAGGACATCATGTACTTCGCCTGAAAAAACAAAAATTGAGAATTAAAAATAAATGAAATTGAAACTAGATTTAGTCATTTAGTTTTAAGAAATACACTTGTTTATTAAAGCACTACTACTAGATGACATTATGAGTTCAAACCTAGCCATCTTAAGGAGTGTTTTCAAACTGTAACGGTAGATATGGCGATTAACACAGAAAGATACTCATGTTTGCCCAAGATAGAACTAAAATGCAGTACACATTAAAACAAAATAAGATCGCAATCATGTTTATCTGTAAATTTTATCATTCTGTTGTTACATTATCTATGATGTTTGCGAGAGACAAATTTTGTTTTTCACTTTATACCCACTGTTGGGGAATCCAAAATGATATCCAAGACAGACCAATTCTCATCTTGATGAGTACATCTTTGTCTATCTTGGTTTGGGCCAGATCCATCTTTATAATGGCAAGGTCAAATTAGCAAGTAAACATGAAACCATGTCAGAGCCTTCTGCAGTCAGAAAACATAGCCACCTATGTGCCAAACATTTAAAAATAACTATTCTTAGTATAAAGCCGATATGTGCTTATTACAAATATATTGGAAAATATAGGCGTTTTAAAAACAGGAACGAAAACCTGTAAAAAAAATGAAACAAAACAAACAAACAAAAAAAACAGATTTTCATTCCTGTTTTATAGAGGACAGGACTGAAGAACAGAATTCAAAGTGACATGATTCAACTAAAACTAAAAAGTCAGCATAGTAGTTTTTTTAATTCAAATCTATTTTCATTATACAACACTGTGACCCAAAAACCACTTGATAAAGAGTTACTGGTTGTTTTTCTGGGGCTCAGGTCTAAATCTAGAATACTGTGAGGCTGCTGTGTGGGAAGAGTCCCTGAGCTAGAGAGTGAACCTAGCCCAGCACCTGGAATTTAAATCCCAAACTCACCACGGTTATGTGCCAGTCATTGCCCTTTATGCTGTAACTCTGATAAATGTTAAAAGCAAAATAAAACTGTCTTTGTGTAAAATGGTCCTCCCAAAGAAAGCCTCTTCACAAGGCTGGTGATGAAAGTGAAGAAAAATGGAAGAAGTCTAAGAAAATAATAGTTCTGAGAAAGAAAATAGAAGCTTTAGATAAATCAGAGTAGAATATCAAATTTTCCCAAGGCCTGGATCTATGATATAAACAAGGCCAACTGTATGGGGGGTAAAAAGTGATTCTGGAACATTCTTTGAGTGCTTTAGTAATAGTAAATGTATTATAAATTAGAATGGCTATATAAATTTAAGGGTCTAAAGGGGTTACTTAAATCTTTCAGTTACTTTCCTGCCTTTTATGAGGGAAATCACAAGTTATCATGGGATTTGTAAATTTGGAGATTTGCAAAGATCTTGGGATATATACTTTGTGAAAAGCAAGGGACTTCTCTAAAAATCACCCTGTGACAAACATCTCTACAAATAAATCTTGGTCCACGTGTCTGATAATTTCTTTAGGGTCATTTCCTGGAAGGGATATTATTATAATTATTATATTATCAATAAGTGCCATGGCAAAAGAATCCAAAAGGTCTACAAAATTCCAAATATCTCCAATACTCTAACAGAAATTTTCTCATTTAAACTGCTCTTTGGGTTGTATATTTTGAAAGCCTCTGAAAATAATATCAAAAGAATAAATTTTAAGAAAAGGTTCTATTTTATTTATCATCTTAATAAGAGTGATATCAGAAATGCACAATGTAACTGAGGGCTTGTGGAAGTCCAGTTTGAAAAATCATCTGGTCCACTACCAGAGAAGCGTGGGGCAGGACAGGGGCAGGGCAGAAGAAAGGTGAGGAAACCATGGCGACCATGGGTTATGGGGGTGGGATAGCAGAGGGACGTCAAAAGGTAGGAAAGTATGAAAATCAACTTCCTGTATTTCTTAGTTTTGTTCAGGGTCAAATCTTACTTTAAAATATTTGGCAATGTGTGAAGTTTCCCATCAGGAGACAAAGGAAAGTTTTCCCTCTCTTTCTCAGATTTCCTTTATTTCCTGAGATTTCTGTATTGAGAAACTGTACACTCAGAGTCCAGTGAAGTGAGATTGGGAGTCCAGAGGAACCCGACAGCACCCTTCCGGGAAGCTTCCGTGCTCTCAACAGAAGGAACTGTCTGCTAACTAGCCAAAGTCGGGGTGACAAGGGTCACATATTACTAGAATGCCTGAAAATCCAAAACAGGGCAGGTATCCTAAAAGAAGCATACAAATAGCAACTGGATATTGATGAAACAGTTTGACCACTCAGAGTAGCCCTATGCAGTGTGAATTCTCAGGAATGAATTGTAAATTCTTATGAATACAGACACTAACATCAATTCCAGAGCTGTTAGGAAGCAAGTATAAAATATTGCTTTTACTGAGATAAACAGGCTACGAAGAACTTGTCCTCCCTGGGATATGGGTCTATCAAGCACCACCGAACAGATCACACAGTTGGTGCACTGAAAGGAACCTTAGACAGTATCACGTCTAACCCCCATCTCTACCCATGAATGGTAACAGATTTAAAGTATCATCTGAATTATTCAATATTCATCCAACAAATATTTAGCAAGTGTTTATTATGTGCCAAGCACTATGTTATTAGATGCTGGTGGTGCCCATATTCATCAGAAAAACAGAGATTTTTTAATTAAAAAATAAAACAGTGTTGCTTATTTCTTTTAAGGACTTTTAACAATATCAGGAAAAAGGAACTGTTTCCCTTACCGTAGATTCTCCCATTAATGGAACATTTTTTAAAAGTCATGATGTTTTCAGTGAGGGTACCCGTTTTGTCAGAGAAAACATATTCAATCTGGCCTAGTTCCTCATTGAGCGTGGTCGTCCGAGCTTGAGCAGGTGTTGCCTTCCCAGAGTAATACATCTTCCGATCCCAGTTTATAAAATAACTGTGTCCCAGACGAATTACTTCCACACTTTCATCATTAAAATGGAAAAAAAAGAGAAATACTCCATCAATTTCAGAAGATACAAAGCTTTGCCAAAGCAAGAAGTCTGCCAAAGTCTTCAGAGTTTAGAAGAAAATGTGGATGCTCTGTCTCCAGGTTTTAGGGACCTTCAGAGGCATCTCAGCAGAGTCTGTTCATAAAATGTTCTAAGTCATTTGCTTGTAGCACCTTGAAACAATGAGCTGGCTTTGCATAAAGCCTTAGGGAGTGTTCCATGCTTCTCTACTTACATTAAACAGGCCTAGTAGAGATTTCTTGTATAGCATTTTAGTTGTTTGATGTCGCTTCACTTTGCCAAAAGAGGTAGAAAGGAGTATCTCCATGAAGCACTAAGCAAACCATAATAGCTATTGAGTAAAAACAGGTTGTGTTGTCATATGACTTTGCCCATTGAAAAGAGCATTGTCTCATGATCTAGTGGTGATTTATGATTTTCCAGCTCTAGAAGTGGAATTTCTGAAGCCAAGGGTATAATCGTTTTCAGTCTTTGTACACAAGGCCAAATCAACTTCCAAAAAAGTTACAACAATGTAAGTTTCTACCATTAGATTACTGAAAATTATCTTTTCGTCTATGCCAGGTCAAATGGCCTCTCATTACTGATGACTGCACTTCTTTTCTTATCAGTGAGTTGAATTTTTTTTTTCAAATTTTATTGGCCAGTTATATTTCTTCTCAGAATTATCTAATTGCATTACCTGCCGATTTCATCTTTCCTATTCAGGTATTAGTGTATTTCTTATTGATGTGTAAAAATTGTAGAGATATATATATATAGCATATGTATCTATATACATTATGCCAATAGTTACCCAGTTTATCATTCATCTTTTAATTTTGTTTGCACTATTTTTGACACAAAGAAGTTTTCTCTCTTTAATCAATCAAATTTATCAATAGTTTATAGTTTCTGTTTATAGTTTCTTTTCAGGGAGCTTTGCTTAAGCCTTCCCTATGGCAAGATTATATATATACAGATATCTATACTTTTCTTCCAGTTTTTTTTTGGTATTTTCCCCACGTTTAATTATTTATTGCAATTAGAATTTTCTGAAGGATGTGCATAGAGAAGCTAATTTCAATTTTTACAAAGTTTATTCATCACCATTTGAACATTGAATCCTTTCCCCTACTGTGCTGAGATGCTTGCATGTCACATATAAATTATTTCTTCAGTAGAATCTGTTTTAGGCATTTCAATTTTGTTCCTTAATGTGTTACTTAATGTACTTAATGTTTTCATTATTATAGCTTTATAAAATTTGGCATACCTGGAAAGAGGTAAGAACATCTTTATTCTCTTCTTTTTCAAAAATTCTTAGCTGTAATCACTCATTTATTCCTCTTGATAGAATTAATGTATTCATCAAATAAACTTTAGAATCAATGTATCAACTTTCTCATAAAACTTATTTGGAATTTTTATTAAAGTTGTATTAACCTCTTAATTATTTGAAAAGAATGGATATTTTATAACATTTAAACACAACTTCAAGAAAAAGGATAAATCTCCCCAGGAATTCAATTTTGAAAAAGTACTTCTATTGGTAAAGAGTTTAGTTTTGTTTTGTTTCGCTTTGTTTTTCACATAGGTCCACACCATAGCTTGACAGATTTGTTCCTGGACACTGTATCTTTTTATTGATGGGAAAATTTTTTAGTTGCTTTTGGCTTAAAGGAAAGTGTGTTGTGTTTTTATTTTTAGATGTTGTGGGTAGGAGTTTATTAATTAATTAATTTATTTTTGCTGTGTTGGGTCTTTGTCTCTGTGCGAGGGCTTTGTCTAGTTGTGGCAAGTGGGGGCCACTCTTCATTCCGGTGTGCGGGCCTCTCACTATCGCGGCCTCTCTTGTTGCAGAGCACAGGCTCCAGACGCGCAGGCTCAGTAGTTGTGGCTCATGGGCCTAGTTGCTCCGTGGCATGTGGGATCCTCCCAGACCAGGGCTCAAACCCGTGTCCCCTGCATTAGCAGGCAGATTCTCAACTACTGCGCCACCAGGGAAGCCCTGGTAAGTGTTTTTAATACTAAAAGCTTTTCTTAATATTAAAAAAGTGATTATGTTACAAAATACAACATTGCACTGAATTATCTTACTAAGAGTTTTACAGTTATTCTTTTGGATTTTCTAGGTTTATAATCACATTGTCTCTGCTCTTCCTTTCTAAGAGATTTTTTTCAGTTTCATGTCTCATTTTGTTCATAAATATTTTAGTTGCATCTGTTAGTACATTAACAAGAAGATCCAGAACAGTATAAAATAGTAATAATAAAGCAGGGACCCATAGTTTATTTCTGATGTTAATGGGAATTAAGCTTAGGTTTTCTCATCCGTAAATTTGAGAAAGTTGACAGCAGCCTGATTATGCTAACTCTGAACATTTGTCTCCTTAAAGACAAAAGATGACACCCAAGTCCTTTCTGGGCACTAAATCCTATGCTTCTAGTTCTATAAGTACATGACACATCTATATTTCCCTCCCCAGCAATGGTAGGGTGCCAGTTCGTTTTCTAACTATTTAAATGGTAACACTTTTTTTCACGCAAACTAAAAAATCACACTATGACCGTAGAGTCATAAGATATAAAAATGAATGTCATATTCTGCATGTATTTATTTATACCTTATCTTATCATGATTTATTCTTCATATCATTCCCACCCCACTTCCTTGTAAGTTCCTTGCTGGCTGTTCTAACTCAGCTTTGTTCTTCCTCTTCCATTCACTCAGAAAGCATTAGCACTTACCATGGACCAGGCAGAGTGCCTTACCTGTCACAGGCAGTCAGTTAGTGTTGAATGAGAAATCTGACCCTCTATTCCCTAATTTCACCAAGAAGGACATTAAGACATAGAGAGGTTAAGTGACTAACCCGAGGTCACACAAATAATTAACCACAGAACCAAGACTAGAATTCAGGCATTTGGTAAAGTCAATGAAGACCTGACCTTAAGAATGCCATAAAAATGGCATTATGCAGGTAACTGATCAATCACTTGAAGCTTTCATTTATCTAAAAGTAAAGTATCTCCCTAAAAATCTAAGCAAAATTAATGGAGAGCAGAATTTGATCCTTTTGTGTTGCAGTTCAAGTCAGTGGAAGTACTCTAAATTAATTTGAATTCTTAGACCTTAAAATAGTCTGTAGAGAGGAAGAGTATCCTTTTTGTTTGGGAAAAGAGCATTTAGGAGAGTCACAATGGAACATTCAGCTCTTTGTTTTATAATAGCAGAGAAAAGGAGACAAATGCACAGAGTCAGTATAATCAAGCTGCTTAGTGTTTTCTGCCTGGAGGCTCAAAGAACAGGGCTTATGATTCTGCCCATTCTGAGGCAAAATAAGCAACATAGAAACGAGTTTCTTTTGTTTTGGAAAAAACACTAAAAAGCTAATTCCTTGGGAGTACAACAGCTGCACTTCTTAAGATGATGTATTAAAAAAATGTAGCTGGGTATGTTTTAAACTACAGATAAATTGACAACATAGAAATACCCTACCAAAATCAATGTCCTATGCTCACATGGAATTGTTAAGCATTCAAAGTAAAGTCTACACTTTTATCCTCAAGTGACATGGCACTAATTTATTCCTTGTACCTATTCAAAGGCATAATGGAAGCTTTTGTAGAAGGCCTTCATCTCTCCAATCAGAAATACCTATGATTTCTCTTTTCCCAGATCTCTGTCTTAGCAACCTGAAATTCCCTGGAATGCTTTTTTCCCTCAAGCTGAACTCAGAATCACTATTCTTATTTGGTGAGCAAAAATGCTCACATTTATCTTCATCAATACCATGGCTTACCAACAGGTAGAAAATTCTAGCCTCTTTTTTTTTTTTCTCTTGATGTCTTGGCTGATTAATAAATCATGCACAGCTTAAGACATAGACAATGTGCCAAGTGTTAGAAGACTTAGGTTTGGATCTTGGCTCTGTCCCTAACCAGCTCCACAATCCTGAAAAAATCATCTCATTTATAAAAGAAGTTCAGCAATAACTACTTCAAAAGATTTGGGGGAGACATAAATGAGATAATGCATGTGAAAGCACTTTATGTAAAATATGAAATGCTATCTAGAGGTAAGATGATATTATTTGGAGCAGAAAGGAACTCAGAAATCAATTATCTCAATCTGCTCATTTTAGAGCACATATTTCATATTTCATAGGCAAACTAAGGCACAGAGAAGCCAAGTGCTTTCTCCAAGGTCACACAGCTATCAGTGGCAGTGACGAGAACTTGGGCTCAGATTATTCCAAATAGGTTTTCATTCTGCCACTGTGGGGGACACATTAGAAGGAAAAGGAACCTGGGAATCTAGTCTTGGTCTTTAAAAAAACAATCTTAAAAATCATTAAATGAAAAATGCCAGTGCACTTCAAAGAAAGAGTGTATACGAAATACACTTCCTTCGTGAGGACACATGAAACTGTACGTGTGCAGATGGTAAGCCACTAAGAGCATTTATTATTCATTTCGACATAAAAGGAAAGCTATAAAAACTGACCATAGCTCCTCTGGCAAAGAGCAGGATTTACTACAGACTTTATAATTGGATACAAGCATAAGAGGTCCTCAGAATCAAAGATGAGCCAGTAGGATACATTTTAAATAGAGCCCGCTCTGACCACAGCTCCAGAAGGCCCAAAGCATTTTGTGGTGTTGTGACCACATGCCACTACTTCCAGTCAATTTCCCACAACTTGACATTTCAGTTTCCTAACTGCTCTCTAAAACAAGGGTGGATTTTGTGCATTAACCTTCCCTTGTTTCATCAGAGTTAGGATTTTGGAAAGAGAGAAAAAGAAGCTCGTAAAAATTAGTGGGGATTTAGAGCTGGTGATTTTGTTTATTGTTAAAATACTGGTGATGAGGAATGTCGACGGAGGAAACAAGATGGCGGAGTAGAAGGACGTGCTCTCACTCCCTCTTGCGAAAACACCAGAATCACAACTACCTGCTGGACAAT